GTTGTGAACATGTTCAAAATTGAAGGTAGAGAAGTTACATGAACTTGTTTGGTTGAGGGGAGACTGAGAGCTGTTCACCCCTTAGACAAGCTGAAGGTGTGATGCCTTAAGTTTGAGTAGTTATATTCTGAGTAGAGAGTAAGATACATGTAGCTTCTCAAATAGGACTTATCAGCATTAGAACAAATTGTTTAATGTATAAAAAGAGAGCAGCAACTACAGAAAACGCTTTGGGATGTAATTACTTGTATGCTTATATGTTGAAATTTCGGTCACTGTTGTCATATGTCAGTCCACTTGGTGCTCCTCGTGAGCGTTCAGTGCTGTTTCTTGGGATAACCTCAGTGTCAGGGAAAACTTGTGTTGATGAAAACAAAGCTTGATGGTTATTCTTTGATAAATTCAGGAGAGTTCTCAAGTTGGCAATGCTTTTTGATCTGCTTCTGTATGGAAAGCTGTTAACTGTGGGATGTCAGATTTTGTGGTATGGTCTGAGTTGGTTCTGCTGTCTTCAAGGTGATATTCTTCTGCATGATGGAGTTCTGACTTAAATACAGCTTGTTGCATTCAAGTAAAAAGTAGTAAGAGAGAGAAAGTTGATAAATAATCTTCATGAACCTCTATGAGTTGTTACCCTCATAATACCTTCAACACTTAAAACGATCCTGGGGTTCAGGTTTATATCTGAGCCACAGTAAACACCTTCAATATTTAAAAGGAAGGAAAATTAAGGTTTTCTGGGCTAGCAGACAGTAGAATCTTTTAGGTTGCTTGTTGAAATAAGTGCCTTATCAATATATACTTGTTCAGTGGGTAGCTTAATATGTTGGATTTTGTTTTAATATTCTTTATTGCAGGCTTCAGTCATCTTTCCTAAGTAAAGTAATACATGTTGAAAGTAATCTTAGGAGGTTATCTGTTCAGACCCCTTGCTTCAAGCAGGATAAACTTAGCTGAGGTTGCTCAAGGCCTTTTCCAGTCCCATTTTGGGTATCCAAGTTGCTGGGGCCCTTAGCTGTTGAGGATTCACACCAATTTATTACTGCAAGTTGGTTTTTCCATTTTATTGTTTCATGTAATTAACTTTGGACAGAAAGGTCTGTCTAGTTATGGATGATAGTGCTGAGGAAAACCAATTTGATAGTTACAGAGGGTTGTGTTCTTCGCATGCTGCTTGATGTTTATATGTCATTCACTCCTTAATTGTAGCAATCAGATTACCAATCTCCCATCTCTTCTCATACATATTTCTCACATTCCAGTGTGCATTCTACTTGCCTTTGCAAGCAGGCATAAAGCACGTAGCCTGAGTTTTCAGATATTTTGCTCAGTGGGTGGGATAGGGCCACCCTGCTTGTACAGTCATAGACTTTGCTCCACAAATAGCATGTTGCATTCCTCCATTGGAGTTACTTCTTTTGTTTGGATCCTACTGGGGTTTAAATCTATGACTTTTCCCCCCTCTGTGGTTAATATGTATCATCTTGGAGAGTTCTGTTGCTGAAAGACCTGCTCTTTCTTCATTAAGTTATACATGCTGAGAGTTTTTGGTATTCAAATATTTACAAAAAACACTTTAAAATCCAGAAATTAGAAGGAAAATTAAACAGATTTGGCATTTAAGAAGGAGGAGGGTTAAAAAAAGCCTTTATACTTCAGGTACTTGGAAAGAATGTGCCATTTATGCTTCTGAATTTTGTAATCTCCAGTTTTTGCGACTTGACATGTTATCAATGCATCATCATGGCCAACACTCCTTGAGAGTCAGAAAAGTAGAGTGCTTAATAAAGTGTGTTGCCCTGTTATTGTACACTGTTAGCATTTTTCCATGATGCTACTGTGGAGAATCCAGTTAAGGAGATTTAGAAGTTGTAAAGGAAAGCACTCAGAATGCCATTAAATCTCTTTAAATGTGTGAGATAAATTGCTCTTTAATGAGATCTGCTCTAGGTTATGCAGAAAATGGGAGAAAATACTGCATTTTATCTCACTTGGTTTCTAGACTGTCCACAAAAGAGTTCTTGATGGCAGTAACTAATGGCATCTCTTGAGGATTATTGTACACATAAATCAGCTATTTGTGCTCTTGAGCAGATCCTCTCCAGGATGCAGAATAGAGAACACTGCAGACTTGTAGGCCCGTGATAGAATTCTAACAGATTCCCGGTGGCTTCTTGGAAAACTGTCCACAATGAAGAATGGCAAAAAATTTCTTTGTACATCATCATCTGTATTTTACTTTAATCTGTTTTTAGTAAGCAATAAGCACATCTGTCACTGTGTAAAGATAGCATTTGTCACTGTTGTGTACAGACATTATTTCACAGGCAAGTTGCACATGGGAGAATTTTTCATCTGTATATTTTCTTGCTGGGGACTCAAAGAAAGAGAGATGTTATTAACTAGAATGGACCATTTTTAGGTGATGAAAACAGGAAATCCATAAGATATTAGTGTACTCATCTTCATGAAGTTCTGTGAGATTTTTTTAGTGTAGAGAGCCCTATATTAGAGGCTGTGTAGAGTGTGCCATTGTATGAAGGCAGCATGAATGAGGTGAATGCCATTTAGTGAGTGTAATAGTGATTTACTGTGAGTTGTATTAACTGCTTAGCAAAAAAATCTCAGTGTTGCTCAGTGTGTTCTGATATCACTGTTAATGACATCTGTGTAGATAATGTGGGAAAATCTCATTCAGACCAAACTTAGAAGTTCTCTTGATTCTCTTTGCTAGCTCAAGCTTTGTTCAAATGATCTAAATGTAAGAAAAGGCAGTTCATTTGGTGTTATGGATCATCTGGTGTGCTGTCTGATTCCACTAGCATTGATTAAATTAGTTCAAACCATAGGTGGACCTCCTCACCTCCCGCTGAAGTGTCTAGATAAAGCTGCTCTTCACCCAAGATCTAAATTTAGTTGTGGAGTTTGTTTGTTGCCTTGCAAATTATAGCATCCTACTATTGTGAGTGGTTTTGTTTGGTTTTTTTATTTGTGGGTTGTGGGGGATTTTGTTGTTGTTGTTTTGTTTCTTTGTTTGTTTTTTCTTTGGACCAATTTTCTTATTAGTGTGCCTTGCAATGAAAAAAAATTAAAAATAATCTGGGATGATATGATAGTAGTCCTTGTCATCCTGGGTTTGTGTTGCTGCCATGTTCTTATGTTATTATTGCCTTTCAGTGGAAGACCTCTGAATTTTGTGGTTTTTTGTGCCTTAGTTTCCCTTAAAACAGGTTCTGGTATTTCAGTATGAACATTGATTTGTAATCTCCTGCCCAGAGAGACTAGTTTGGGGGGGGGATGTAAATTTTGAAATGTTTACTTTTATCTTATGATTTATACACCAATTAAAATTTTTTTGCTGTCCCCTTAATTAATATAATAAATCCCATTTAAATATGTCCTCTTACTGTTTGCAGCATTTTGCATATTTTTCTTGATGCACTTACAAATGCATCCTGTGTAATTAATTTTCTTGTATTTGAATTTAGAATGCATAGTGAAATTCAACCAGTGCTGTGTTTGGAACTGTATATGTTAGTAGCCTTCCTGTGTAAGATCCTACTACTCTGTTTGTGGTTTACCATGGCCAGATGCTTTCTTTTTCTGGTTTGTATACATGTATGCACATGTTGCACATTTTTCAGCCCTTGTCCTTGGGATGCTGCATTTAACAGTTCCTGTTTCTGAAGCAGCAAATGTACCAGGTGTCAGATCTCTAGCTTGTAATTCCCGAGGCTTTGTCCTGTCAGAGCAATCCAGGCTGTTTATGTCTTCCAGCAGAGCTGGAATTCAAAACTGTCTCTTGTTTTGACTTCCCTAAGAATAAAAGTTTCCAAAAGTACAAGTGAAAAATGATGGCATTATTCTCTGTTCATAGAAACTGTAGATGGATTTTCAGCATCCACCTGAAGCAGTCAATGGGAAGGTGTGTTACTGAAGCTGGTAGAGCTCTTAACCGTTTAATTGCTTGATTATTCAGTTTAGTTCTTCTGGTTCCAAAACGGTTTGAAATCTTGCACGAAGTAATTAGTATCACTTAATTATACTACATGTGGGGAAAATTAATAGGTTCTAATTTTTTTAATCTATTTAGCCATCTATAAAATGATTTCCTTAGATTCACTTTCAGGTACGTGTTGCTCCCAAAAATGCTTCTTCCTTTTCATTTGTGCCTAGCAAGTAGGCTTTTCTTACTAATTGCATCTCAAAGGTGGCAATCTTAAAAAGTGGTCATAGTCAGGATATCAGGGATGACATGTGGGAGATTTGTGAGTCTCACTTTAATATAACTGGATATTTTCACTCAGCATATGACAGTAAGCCTGTGATGGTAATTTTTCTCAAGTTACAGGACAGAGATCTTTCATTCCATAAAGCATAGCAGGAAGATTTGTGTTCTTGCATTTTCCCAAAGCTCTATGAGAAAAAACTGGCTTTGTTTATTTAGTTACTTTGATTTTGTAGAATGAAAAATGAGAGAAGTGATGGTTAACTTTTTTTTTAATGTTAGATCCATCCTGTGGTTTGCTGCCTTTGCGAAATGGTTTTGTTCTTCAAAATAAAGACTTAAGCATTATTCATTATTAAATACTTGCATGAATAGCTGCAAGGTACTAATTTAGGTTTGGTTTTCATTGAGGAGATAACAAAGAGATGAGCGGTGTGCTTTCTGTAAATATCTCTTACATTTGGAATGCATTTTTAAATTAACTTGCCTAACCAGTGGCAGAACTGGCAGGTGTTTTCAGGAGATGCACACCGTTATGCTTTTCTTTGACTGAATTAGTGAAAGCTTTACCTTTAATGTGTAAAGTGTTTAAAGTTGGAGAAAGGTACCAGATGCTTCCTTAGAAGTCTTGCTAAAAGTGTGATGAACATGTGAAATCTTTACTTGCTATTCAGTGGATAAGCCTTTTTGTATGTTGAAAGTTTAATTTAAATCTCCTTTCAGACGGTATCTTTTGTGATTTTTTAATTTTTTTATTATTATTCATCTGTAGGTTCCTTCAGAGAAATCAGAATCCTTTGCATCCATGTTGAGACGCTCTCCTTTAATTCAGATGGGGCCTGCCAAAGATAAAATTGCTATTGGTCAAATATTCCATGTTGTAGAAGATGATCTTTACATAGATTTTGGTGGCAAGTTTCACTGTGTGTGCAGAAGACCAGAAGTTGATGGAAAGTAAGTAATAAACTTACGGTAGGTGATTAACATCTGTGAATGACATCCTGAAATTCTTAGCTAAGGGACCTGAATGTCTTCTGGAATGAACTTGGATACTGGGGTTTAAACTGTGTAAATTAATGTGCAGAATGAAAATTTGTTATTTGGTCATAAACAGATCTGCATAGCTCATCATTGTCTGGAATTTAGATTCCTTTACACATTTGCATTATTGCTATCCATATTATTCCAACTTGTGATGAGCAAAGGAAGTTACTGGATGTTTAGTCACTGAAAAAAAGGGAAATAGTTGTCAAGCACTGTTTATTAAAATACTTGGGAGTTTTGTGGATGTGGAACTTCAATCCCATGTAAGTATTCTTAGGCAGTAGCTATCTTTGCTAAGCATAGATACATGAGGTGATGTACTGGGGACTTCACATGTTATTTGTGATAATACTTTTCATAGCAGATGATCAGTGCTAATGTGGTCAAATATTCCATATTGTAGCAGGTGATTTTATATAGATTTTGGTGTCAAGTTTCACTCTGTCCCGAAGTAGAACATCTGTGGTGGAACTAGAACAGTTATGCTAGGGAATACAGTATTTTGAGAGCTAAAAGATAAGAAAGCAACGAATTCTAGTGGAAATAAGCTTATTTATAAGCTTTCTGAACTGTCTTTGGCACCTTATAATTGTGTATTATTCAAAGATCTCTTGTCTATTAAATTTGTCTCCAGGTTGCTTTAACACTTATTTTTTAATACATAGGCAAAACATGGTCTTTTAAAATTCATAGCATCAGAATATTTTAGTCCATCTCTTATCCCTGTTTCCCCTAAGAGAGGAGGAGCATATTTGTTAATCTGCAATGTCACTGTTTTTGAAACATTAAATATGATTCCTGTGATAATCGGTTCTGAAATAATTGATTTAACAAAAAGAGATTTAACAAATAATCACATGTTTGTGTGCAAGTCTGTGATAGTATTTTATCAGAGCACTTTTATACTCGGCTTCTTTTTTTGACAGGTCAGTGACTTTCAGAGCAAATGTGTTTGATGTCCCAGGATGAGCTGAGTCTTTATGCCGGTCCCATTTGGCAGCAGGCAAATATTTTCTTAGTTGCTGCTACTGTAGTAATAAAGCCCTTGTTGCTGTTTGCATCTCTTGCAAATTCCGAATGGAGATTAGCTTTGCCTTTCCCGATCCCATTCTTGCATGTCTGAGGAGTGTTTCTATATTAGTCTCAATCTCCGACCATTCGTTTGGTTTTGTGGTCAAGTTCAGGCCAAAACTCCCTGTTCAGCTGCACCAGCCTTCTGCCAGGCCTGCTCAGTCTGCACCTTGGGAAAGACCCTTGTGAAGCACTGAGGAGTTTGTCTTTATAGATCTTTGACATCTTCTGGGCACTTTTTCATGTCAGAACAGCTTCTCTACCCTGAATAACCCAAAGTCTACTGTCCTGAAGCCTAGATCTGTCTTTTGCTGCTTTACTTTCTCACTTCCCTTCAGCGTGAAGGCTTTCATTGGAGGTCTTTGCAGCTGAGACAGACATCAGTTATCACATTCCCAAGCAGTTCTTGTCTGCCTGTGTGTAACATGTCCAGCAGAAAACCTGTCCGACTTGGGTTGTCTGGCACCTCTGGCAAGAAAAACCAGGGCACTCGCTCTGATTGCTTGCTCCCCTCCATATTTGTTCCTTCTTGAGCACGCATCAGGACATTTGAAGTGCACTGTGACAATCAAGGCTTGCAATTGTGAGGTGGGTTCTGGTTGTTCGAATGAAACTTCATCCACTCCCTCTTCTTCATCCCACTGCCCAGAGCAGACACCCACCGTGAGTCTCTGTTGGTCTCCTCTCCAGTTTTGGCCCATGGCTCTGAACTGCCTCCTTGCATGACTCAGCGCAAGGCTCCATGCTCTCATGTCTGTTTCTTGTTTCCATTGTACCCTCTTTGCCTTGATTCATGTTTGCTTGTACAGTTCTTCCCAGGTTTGGGGAGGGGGCAACTTTGTGTTTCTCTTCAAATCTCTAACTGTGATTCACTCACCTTGTGAATGCTGAACCCACTTCTTGCTGTTTCCTTGTGTGGTGTTATTATTTTGTAATGGTGCTCTGGAATACTGAGATGGCAGGACAGACTGGGGGGAAAGGAATGAAAGATGTCTTCCTTAAAAAAGCTCATAGGCAAACAAGCATGTGTCCACTCCTTCCTTGTTCTCATCTTACTGTCAGTAACTTACACCTTAGGTTTTGGTGCACATTGCAGAGGTACAGGGGAAGATGAGGCCCAGGAAAACTCTTGTTGGAGCAGGTGCTTTAGAGTCAGTTGTCCACTAAACAGCCTGGGGCTGAGAAGATCTTGGCCAGTTATATTTTTGGCTGCCTTTTATAATGATAAAAACAAGCAGATCCCTATAAAACTTGTTTATATTTCCTTCTTCACTATACTTCTCCACTGCTTTTGAGTGGGAGTGGAGAGATGGAATTTAATACCCTGGGTATTTTTAATGAAATTAAATTTGGTACTAAAGATGGTAGTTACCAAAATAATAGGGACAGCATTTACAGCATTGAGGATTGTGGTGGCAGTGGATATAGTAATGTTGCTACTCTATACTTAAATGACTTAAAGCATTCATTTGAGATGTAGGTGACTGATTCAAATCCCTTTTCTCTTCAGACCAGAAACCTGTTTTTTTCTCAGACTACTTAAGTGTTTAAATGCTATTTAGAAGTCCTAATCCTCTAAATAAAAATAATTGAATAAGAAAGCAAATAGTTTAAATAATTCTTGCCAACTTTTTCTAATTCATTGTGTTTCTGGAATTGGAACTTCTAAAATTTACCTGAATTTGCAAAAAAATTGCAGTAGCAAGCAATCTTTTGCCATTTATGTAAAGAGGTATCTCTTGAGGACATGTGCTTTTGCTATTTCCTTGGTCATTTGGCTTTTTTCTCACAGAACTCAACTATTTTCATGATATTATAATACAGTTTTATTTTTCTAATATGATGGCCTGTGCTCTTTGAAAATGCTATGGTTTACTTGAAAAGAAACAAAAGGTCCTTGAGTGTAAAACTTATTCTCTTGAACTACTCAGTCCTGTTCCTAACAGCTGTGATTTCTTGGAAAGTCCAAGTGAAAGACCCTGTAGTGCTACCACCATGTGGCCATAAGAAAGGATTTCACCCTAAAGACTGTCTTGGGTAAAAAAGCAACTTAAAAAAAGGTGTCCCTCACTTGGAAAATTTGAAGTAGCTAAACAAACACATTTTTCCCCTCAAGTCTACTAAGAGAATTTTCACCTCTAAAAAAAACCAAAGGCACACAAACCAAAACTCCAAACAAAACACCACAAACTTTAAGGAAAAGAAACCTTAGAACAGTAATGTAAAATTTAAATTGAATAAACATTTGAAGAAACTGCTAGCTATTTTTGTTTCGTTTTTATTGATTGTTTTCCTTTTTTGTGGACACCTCTTTCATAGAATTGCAGAAATTACATTTTGTTATAAGGATTGATGGTATTGAGATTGAAAGAATGCATTGGCTTGGTTAGAGATCAAATGTATTGTTAGTAAAATCTCACAGGGATCAGGCAAGGATGTACTTGATTATAAATATCAGTATAATTTTGTTATTTGGGGTTTATTTACTGTGTCAGGAGTATTTATTACCCTTACGATTTCAAGATCTCACAAAATATATGTTGTACTTATTAAATATATACTGCAATTATTAAACTCATTTCTTGATGTACTCTGACTTACATGCTTTATTAGATTTACATTTTATCCCAACAGCACAGCAATTCTGTTAAATATCCAAAGTTTATACAAATGAGGAAGGGTCTGTAGTAAAATAAAATTCCTTTTCAGCAATGGGAAGAAAGTATATTTTTTGTCTCTTTTACATGCAGTGGAATTGAAGTCCTAAAGAAGAAAGTGTTGGTCTTACATCTCCAAATAAGCAACAACTTAATCCGTGGCAAAAAGGTGCTGTTAAAACCTGCTTCTGACATTATCAGATGGAATTCCTGAGAAGCAGAAAATATGGGAAGGGATTGTGCTGACACTACCTCTTGCATCGTCTGCACCTGTACTGTTTAATGACCAATTCCCATCAAAAGCACAATGGCTTTCAGCAATTTTCTAAAATGTAGGATTGCAGGACCAGCTTCCAAAGAGGATTAAACTACACCTCTCCATGCCAGGGTAATGAAGCTTTATTTTCAAAGACTGCTGTAACCCTCCAGCAACTCCAGTATTATTATCAGACTGTAGGATCAGAAAGACACTTCCTTTATGCTTGAGTATGCAGCTGGTGCAGGGATTTCCAGTATATCCTGTGGCAATTTTACTTGACACCTTTTATACAGTGCATATTTGCCAAACTTAAATAGTAGAGAAGGGAAGAAATCATTTGATGCTGGTTGTGATTTAGAACATGACAGCTTAATGAGCACCATAAAATATTACCTAATGCTGTTTCTGCAAATTGTATCAAAATATTTACTCTGTTTGAATGACTGCCAGGGTGAATTTTATTTAGGAAACATTTAAAATTCTTTTCTTTTTGTTCTATTTTTAAAATATTTTATAGATAAGGTCAGAATGGAATTCAGTTTGAACTAATCTGGTTTCTTAGATTAGGTAATGTGAATAAGGCTGGTTGTTTTCTAGCACATTCATTTTATTAAGACAGTCTTAAATTTATGTTGAAAGTAATGCGGGAAACCATTAAAAAGATCTTGTAAGATTAAAAAAACCCAATTTTCTAAAAAAAGAAGAGAGGTGCACAAAGAGAGATGCTCTTCATGGGAAAGGATTTCAATAAGACGCTGTTTGGTTAATTCTAGTTTGTGCATTAAACAGTCACCATGTGTTAAGCTGGAGGGTAAGTTTGGAGTTACCTACTCTGTTTTGATGCCATGTGAATATGCTTTTTGAATGAGTGCATCAACCAGAATGAGCGGCCTCACACAGAGCATCCTACTCTCAGTGCGGCA